CCCCACAGCGAGGGTGGGGAACAAGAAAAGACGGAGAGAAGCACGTCAGAGAAGCCAGCCAGTCTACGCAACCGAACCTCTAATTGAGTATCTGCAAAAGAAGAATAAGATCTAAATTGCAGATAATCATATCAAAAGCCTTAGGCCCAAGAAAACCTAAATAATCAAAGCGTTTTCGCCAGAAAGCAATTCCATTCAGCTTCTCAGGCTTTGAGCACGCCAGAAACTATCGATTTCTTATAATACCGCTTATTCGAACAGCCCAGGCAATCATTTCTGGCAAGGGTTCTATACCGAGACCGCCGGAACGGAATAATGGCGATTAACAAAGATACAGAATAATCAGGGCCCTGGCAGGCATGGACCCAGGAAGCTGCAAAAGAAGAATAAGCTGTAAATTGCAGATGTATCCCAAGCCTTAGGCCTGGAGATCTGAATTTCAAACCGATTCTACTCCGATTCTCAGATTTGGAGCGCGCCAGAAATCAAGTTTTCCCGTAATTGTTTGGGGACCCCCCGGACTATGTAGAGATACGTACTTGTTAGGGGGAGGCGGGGGGCTTTGTAATCAGAAGAACCCGTTAGGTGAAAAGCATCGAAAAGCATTCATGCGGCGCTGCATCCTACCAGCGAACTTGAGACCCCCACCCCCGGCAAAAGCAGTTTAAAGTGGGTTTGTAAACAGGTCCCTACATCAGATCGAGCAAGGAAGAATATCTGAACGAACCTTTTTTCAAAAACACGAAGGATTTCTATGAAAAGACTTTAATGACATCTAATTCTAATCATATTTCCCAAGTGGCCGGACTTTAACTTTAACAAAAACTCCAAAGACGGTAAACAAGCTACGAATTCAGAGGCACCTCAATAAAAAGCTGTGGCACTACCCAGAGAACCTGAACGATGATTTAAACTCCCGGATGGCGTGCGTGGGAGTGACGGTTGGCTCAGAGGCGGTCAGCTCCGGCTCTCTTTCGAACGACGCACTTCTTCTCGTGGCAATACGCTGCAAGCTTCCTTGTTGCAAAGCCGAAGCTTGCGGCACGGCAGGGAACAAAGGGCGTCCCAAGTTTCCCCCGGACAATTTTGGCGATTGACAAACAGTGGACAGCCATTCATACCATCTCCTGTGACCAGCGTCTGAGATCATCACTGGATGCAACCAGCCAGATTCATTGATTCAAACGATGCAGGTCCTGCAGGCTCGAGTGATCGAACTCCAGCAAAACAAATATGGCTGGTGCCGCAGAATTTTTCGTAGCCTTCCGAGGCCAAGGGCTCTTCAGCCGGGGCACTGCCAGGCCCAGCGGACGCCAGCTCAAGCAATATGCATTACTTCCTCTTAAAACTGCTATGCTATCCAGACTCCAGACCTATGCCTACACCCCAAAACCTGTAAAGGCTGCAGCAGCACGACAAATCGAAGGCAGCAGCCACTGCCTGTGTCCCGTGCTGCCCATGGCATGGGTAGCAGCCAATAGTATCGCCTGGTAGGCGGCCTTGGCATTTGGCTGCTGACGCTGGTTTGCATGAAATTGCAAGTTGAGGTAGAAACGTGCAATGTAGGGCTGCAACGAGGTGGTGTCTAAAATTGTTTGAAGGTTGCTCACACCACTCGCTTCATATTTCTTCCATGCCGCTGGAATCCTCGTCTCCCAAGTCATAACATCTGTTTCATGCCAGTTTGCTGTGATGTCTTGGAGCATTCTCAAGCGTTGCCCCTTTCGCGACGCACGTAGTCCCTCACTTTCTTGCTGCGATATCTGGTTTCCCCCTCTTCACTTCTCTTCACTCAGAGACCATGACGCTGATTACGCTCAAGTAGTTGGGGGCACTTGATAGCACGAGGCTTCACATGCATGGGTTAGAGGGTTTTGAATCGGCGCTCCTGCGAAAAGGGCGGCAGAAAAGTTGGCATACAACTCACACCACGTGGGTCTATCCGCGTACACACGCTGACGTGGAAAAAATGAAGGACCCTGCACGGTGGACACATATTCACACTGAGTGGCTCGCAACCGCAGTCGCTTCTATGGGGGGGCATGTAGCTTCTATGAAGGATTGGCATAGGAAGCCGAGGAGATCTTTAATTGCAAGTTGATGTTTAAGGTAGCTTGAAACATCACTTCTATCACGAGACCTAATAACAAAGGGGAAACTAAGAAACTAAGTACGTTCCTTCCTTCTAGTTGGATCTCCTTGAGACTCTTGTACGGTCATGCCTGCGTAAGCCTTCAGAGAAACCGCTACTATGTAGATAATAACGGACATCCCTAGTTAGTTGCAATTCATTTTGCTTGAAAATAGTTTCTCCAATAAACGCCTGATGACATCCATACTTTTCTTTGCAAAAAGTCCAGTGCACCCTTAATCCCTGGCCCTGTACATAAAGCCCCCAACAATCGACAACAAGTTCAAGGGATAACAAATCTTAAGTAGCGGGCCTGCACGGGGACCACCCAAGAATGTAGGCGTCATGTACCGGCTATATACAGGTTTTGCACATGGGAAATGGAAATTGGGGGTCCATACCAGGGATCCCTCCAAGGAGAGGGTTGTCCCAAAGAATGCACGGCCCACCTTGTTCCATGCCCGGCTTCGTGAAACGTCCGCTGGCTTTGAACGCTGAGAACGCGGCTTCCGAGAGTGTCCAGACCTGAGCGCTCTGCCCAAGAAACTCGAGAATGTTCGAGAATGTACAATAGCAAGCAGTCGTCCTACTGCTTTGTCTACAGCTTGCACATCAACCTGAGCCAGGTCTGGCTGCTGCTCGGAACAGGCTTGCAAATGTGTAGTGCGTACAACGTGTACATGCAAGAACAATCTCACAGCCTCCCTGCGCATGCGTCAATCGCAACGTGCCAACACTTGGTGGTATATGTGGTATCTGACTGTAAACAGCCGTCTCAGCTAGATCAGACATAGGATTTCTTCTGCACGGTGCTTACTTAGTCTATCCTCTGTTTGCTAGGCTTTACATATGTAGCGGCATGTCCATTGAAACGTTTTTGCCTGCGCCTTTCTATTGAGCGAAGTATTTTTCGACTACTGCACCACTCATTTTTGGGTGTTGATCAACATGATTCTGCCGCTGCATAGTACGTGACAAAGCTTGCAGTACACCTGCCTGGTAGCACGTTTACCTAGAAATCATCCTGGAAAACCAAACAAAACGAATCAGCCGCGATACAAAAACGAAGGCCCAGTTGGGCAACAAGCCTCAGTACGAACTACTCTCGCCTTGAACGCTGGCCAGAACCTTCAGCGCCAATCAAACAGCCCTCCACATGAAACTGGTGGCTTCGTTGACCTGAGACAATGGCATGCATCCAACACCTGGTTTCTCAGTGCACCGCCCTGCAGTCAGATGCGGTGGTTCCGTTAATACACGAGCTTCACCAAGACGAGTGTTAAGTGAAGCTGCTGAACGGGAACAGCGGTTGATGAAGATATGGTGCGAAGAACTTGGGCACAGGTTACCAAAAGCTACGGGGACGGTCCCTGAACCTCGGGGCGTATAGGGCATGATGTTCTGCACTCAATCATCAGTCACAGTCAATTTTAATGCTTTGCACAACAGCTCCACGTGGCCTTGGTCTGGGGCGAGATCTTTGGCACGAACAGGTGCGGAGTGACAGTCTGGAGGTACCAACGGAAGTCCTGGACAAATCTCAATACTTCACCTTCGACATGGTTATGCAGACACCAGTGGAGTGCTCCTTGCATTGGAGCTTCTGGCGGAGCTGTCGCCGCGGCTCGAGATCACCAATCGGCAAAGACGCGGGCCTTCAGAAAGTCCCGCTAACGTACGCTCAAAACTTTGGATCATGCGCTGGGTGGCTGACAGCGGGCTTGAGGCAAACTGGACAAGAGATTTGTACTCGTCCATCCAAACCTGCAATGTGTCAGGCAAAACCCTCATGATTGTCTCATCCTGCCGGCAGCTGCATCAGGCACATCAGCCACTGACCGCGGTAGCCGGGAGTTATAGACCGCCCAATTTGATCCATCCGGCCGGCATCTTGCCTCCCTCGTACTTTTGCTGGCTAAAGAAATACGTCCTTGCGCTCTCATTACGACACTGCCGACTATCCATTTGGTTGGATGATGTGCGTATTTACGTACCAAGGGATGAGAAAAGAGTAACAACAAAGGCCATGAGGAATTCTCTTTGCATCCATCGCCAATTCACATGCTGAATTGCACTTGCATGGGTCATCATGGGTCTAAGTATAATGCACTTCGCGGACGAGGCGCAACATCTGCCATTTGGGCTCAAATGGTGCAGATGGTGTAGCGAGTCTACTGCAGTTACTTAGCCGCTAAGTACTAAGCGGGTTTACACAACGCCACTGGCATACTAAACATATTTTGATATTGAATAGAGGCAGGACGGATTTGAAGGACTGTCATAAAACGCCTGTTGCATTTCAGGTGCATCTGTGGTAGACAAACAAGTTTTCAAATAATCTCAATCAACATTCCCCAGGGCAGGGCATCACACGACGGAGCAACCAAGACTAAGAGTGATAATTTACGGCTAGTCTGAGAATTCTGGAAGGTGTCATTGCTTTCATCCGTCAAATTCTCGACATCCAGAAGAAAAACGACCGGATTGATGATGACATGCTACATGATGCATGTCCCGGTAAACTCATGCCTGAGCTCTGAGGGCATTCGGGGTATTTCGGGGTGGTCTGTCTCGATGCATGCCCTCATGAGTCGTCGCGGCTAGCAGCATCTCCGGCCATTGCTCTGTTTCGGAAGTACCAGGTCACTGGTGTGCGTATCTCCTTCAATAAGTGGAGTCCGCACAGTTGCAGTGATGCCGACACTGTTTCGCATAACCTGCAGGAGGGCTTCCGCCAAGTGCTAGAAGGCGTGGCAGAACGCACTTGATAATGATTGCCGCGCATCCCTGGCATGACGCATGACCCTCGTCGATGATGGATGCACGGTTGGAAGCCGATTCGCGCACCAAAAACGCAGATTTGCGCACCAAAAGGTCGGATTTGCGCACTACGTGGAACACGTGATTCGCGGGCCGTCGGATTCGCGCACTACCACAGACCGATTCGTGCACCAAAGAAACGCTGCTTCGCGCACCAAGCGGATTCGCGCACCAAAACAGCTGCTTGGCGCACCAGCACAACGAGACTCGAAACCCTAAGGCCTAAACCCCAACCAACCCTAAACCCCAAAACCTCAACCCTGAGCCCCAACCAACCCTGAACCCTGAACCCAAAACCCTAAGCCCTAGACCCTTAGCCCCAAGCCCGCCCTAAACCAGCCCTGAACCCTAAACCCTCACCAACCCTGAAATTTCAACCCTAAACCCGAAGCACTAGCCCTGATCCCTAAGCCCCAAGTCCTAAACCAGCCCTGAACCGTACACCCTAAATGCTAAGCTCCAAGCCCTAAACCCTAAATCTCAACCCTAAACCCTCAGCCCTAACCCTGAATCCCTAAACCCAGCCCTGACCTAGACCCGAAACCCTACACCCTGAACCAGCCCTGAGACCTAAACCCTGCGCACCCTAAACCCTCTCTCTCTCACACGTAAACCACGAAACCCAAAGCCTTAAACCAGCCCTGAACCCTAAGCCCTAAACCAACCCTGAACCCTAAACCCTAAACCCTGACGTCTTAGCTGAGGGCTCGACCACCGCCATGCGGAGCCCAAAGCTGCTCGAGCTTCGCGAGCGGCAAAGAACGTCATGGAGCGCAGGTAAAGCTGGGCGACTGCCGCCACCATGGCGCCCTGACGGGGCCTTCCCATGGAGGTGTAAAGGTAAACCCTAAACTTAGGTTTTTGCCAGCACATCCCTGAAACCCTCCTCCTAGAACACCCTCTTGGGGGCTGGCGGGCCTAGGGACTGCCAAAAACGCCTTTTCCGGACTCTCGGGCCTCCCAAGGTTCCGGACACAATGGCCGCTACCCCACACCATCCTAAAAGCGGCTGCCCAGACTGTTTCTGGGCCTTTTGTGATGGCCGCAACTTGTTACAACACCCAGAAGCTTGGACTGTGCGGCAGCCCCATGAGGGCATTTGCTGGCACATCCCTGCCTTCAAATCCTTGCGACCTCCACGAGCAGAGGGTTGTTACAACATCCCTGCATCTAGGGACCGCAGCAGCTCAAGCCATTTCTGAGGGCCTCCAGAAGGGCTGCAGACGGTTTCCGAGCCTTTGCCAGAGCGTTTCTGAACCTTTTCAGCAGCTCCCAGACCATTTCTGAGGCCCTTCAGCTGGGCCTTTCGCGATGGCCGTAACGCGTCTGGCAGCACTCTGTTGAGGGTTGTTACAACATCCAGAAGCTTGGACATGTGCGGCAGCCCCGTTGTTCTGTAAGGGCTTTTGCTGGCACATCCCTGGATATCTTGGGGGGCTACGCGAGCCTCGACACCTCCCAGCAGCAATGCATCTGGCAGCCCTTCGATCTGTGAGGTTTGCTACAACATCCAGCAGCTTGGACATGTGCCCTGCACCCCCTTGTTCCGTGAGGGTTTTTGCTGGCACATCCCTGGATATCCTTAAAACCTTCAGGGGCCTCGACACCTCCCAGCAGCAACGCGTCTGGCAGCCCTTTGATCTGTGAGGGTTGTTACAACATCCAGAAGC